TACGCCCGAGGATGTGCGCGAGTGGCGCGAAGCCGCTCGCCGAGCCACGATGGCTCGTTGGTCGTTCCGGCTGGAGACTCCACGCGCTGGCTTCGCCGCCGTGGAGGCTCTCCAGCCGGTCATCGCCGAGTGGGCAGGGCGGCAGCACGGGACCCTTACCTTCCGGCTGACGCAGGTGCTTTCCGGGCACGGATGCTTCGGAAAGTACCTGCACTCGGTCGCTAGGAGGGAACTGAGTCCCGCCTGCCACCACTGCGACTGCAGTGAGGAATCGGCCCAGCACACGCTGGCGATATGCCCCGCATGGGCGACGCAGCGCCGGGCCCTCACTGCAGTCATCGGAATGGATCTCTCGCTACCGGCCGTAGTACGCTCCATGGCCGGTAGCGACAGTTCTTTTACCGCGGTCACAACCTTCTGCGAGGAAGTAATCTCGCAGAAGGAGGCGGCGGAGAAGGCCCGGGAGGACGACCTCCACTCGGACCCAATCCGCCGCCGGTGAACCGGGCGGCGGAGGCGCGCCTATCACCGCCTCATGCCGCCCTGAGTGTGGCCGCGGGTGGATGGGGTGGGTTTCCCCTCCACCCGCATTAGTTTGGCCAGCCGCGAGGGGGCGGCGTCCGCGTGTGCCGGACGTCGCCTAAAGAGAGGAAAAAAATTTTGAGATGGAGCCCGCACCAGGAGCGGGCCGGCGCTAGGAGGGGTCCGGATGTCTTAATAACAGCTGTTCCCGGATCCCTCCTATTACAGGCGCAGAGTGGCACACCGTGTGGTTTTAGTCGGTCCGAGTCCGACACACCACCCCGCCGCAAATCCCGGTGGGGTGACGGTCCGAGGGGATTTCTACACGTTAAAAAAAAAAAAAAAAAAAAAAAAGGTTAGTATTTCGACCAACAACGCGCCGCAATGCCAGAACCGAACTGTAAACGAGTTTTTCTCGGCATTTTTATGAGGGTGTTTTTTTTTGTATTGGAATAAGGTGACACGCCGTATAACAAAACTCATTATAATTTTAACGAATAGTTTTACTACTCATTAAAACCCAACGCGACAACGTTATGATGAATATTGGACATTCTGCGAACTGGACTTTTGCGAACTAGACATTCGGCGAATTGGACACTCTGCGACCTAAACATTTTGCAACCGCTATACATTTTGCGATTTGGACATTTTTCGCCTAACGACAACGAGGAACCAACCATTTCCTATCTGGGAAGTTTGACTATGCCACATTTTCTGTCATATTCCACAATTTCACTGGCTTGTCATCGCTCAGGCTTGCCACAAAATCGCTAACTATTTACTTTTTGTTTTTGTCAGATTATATCGGTCATTCTCACGTAGATGTATTTTCAGGATAATTACGTCACTCGTTTTATTTATAAGTTGAAGCCTACATTACATAAGAATTATGAAATAATACATACAACACCTGATTTGTTTGGCTTATATATTTACCAAATACTTTAAGAGTTATGATAATAATAATAAAACCAATTATTCCATAACTCTTATTATTCGTCGTTTGTCATTTTCCGACCTTAACTGCCATTTTTTTCACAGATATTTTGTATGCTAAATGAAGTATGCTTTCGAAAAATCGAATCCTATAATGCAGTCCCGACATACAGCCAAAACTGTATTGCATCAATGTCGACAGCCTTCCTTATGTTGAAGTTATTTAAATCCTTCGATGTCGCAACACAAATGTAGCATTTCAAGGTTGAAGTAGTGGCTGTTACAGCATTGTATACTTTAGCGTCGTCGTATGCAATTTCAGGCTTAGTGATATCTGCTGTTTCTTTTACAAATCTGATCCTTATTGGTCGACAGAACCGTGGCGAAGACGGAGATGAATTTTACCAAACTACTTTTTTGTTTGACCCACAAACTAACTGCAATGGAACAAAGCAACTTTGGAAAATGTTACTGTCACACACACTGATTTTAGGTAATGGGTACTGTGGTACCCGTTACCTAAAATCATTCAATTTCGTTGCTGTTTATTGGCGATTCAATTTCGTTCAACTTCTCAACGGGTACCACGTGGTACATATACAAATTCTATACCATAACGTTTTCAATTTGATCAAATATCAAATTTTATTAAAATCAATTATTTGGTATTTACACTCTCAATATACTCGTACAACGCAAATAAAAGTTGGTTATTGTAAAGTTTATAAGAAATACAATAAAAATTTCACCGAGCTGGAGCAACATGACTTTTACAAATAGATTTCAGGATGGACAGCTCAATGTATTTTTTTTACAAAACTTTAAGATATCTTAAATCATATTATTACATTATAACTAACGTATCCTGGGACCCGCATAGTTTTAAGGGTTAAGAGTCAGTCAAACTTATTTTTTTGGGTGTCCGAAAATTACTTTACTTGTTCTGAGAACAGAGAACAGTTTAACTAACCTTGTTAATGCTTGCCTTTAAAGTGATCAAAATGTATTCTTATTCTTATTAATTAAAAATTAGAAAAATAATATATAAATACAATTATTTATTTAACAAATTTATATTACGAGTAAAGTTTAATACTTTAAGGAAGACTATTTGCTATTTCCTTCATCTTACAAACTGGTAATAAACTTATAAAATTCTTTTATATTTCGTTATTGGTCGTAGACTAAATTTTGATGTTATCACAGCTGGTTATAGGGCTAGAGTATTAATGACATCATTTTGGACAAATTAGGGGTTTTGAGAACTTTGCCTTTACTTTTCTTATAGTATCTTTTTCATTCATTTTTTATTTTTCTCTTCTCCGATGCTGCCTTTCCTTTTGCTGCTTATATTATATATTATATAAACATCAAGGCTATCTAAACAGCCAGGAGACTGTCTAAACAGTCTAAACGTGTCGAACATTGTTACAATGTTTCAGGCGAAGTCGTAATATGAAATGTAATATTATTAATATGGAGTTTGGTTGCTAGTGAGTTAATATATAAGTTTTAATCAAATACAAAATAAAAGATCCTTAAAATGACTGTGATTTTCAAAATTCTAATCTGCTATTACTTACAAATATTAGTTTTTTTAAACTTAATTTTAGTACTGTACATTATAATATTAGATTTTGTATATTTTAATTTCCGTCCATTACTATCGTGGCGAGAATTAGGTTGTGGAGGAACGGGTGTCATGTCCCTTCAACACAAGGGGAGGATCCTCCGACCAGGCGAGGTGATCATGCATGGCGGACCGCGGCCCAACGGGAATGTTTGAATTGCTAATCGGCGAAAGAATTCTTCATATCGCGATACACAATTAACAATTCTCATTCTGGAGTTACTCCGTTGTTCGGTATGTCTTCATTAGATGGCGCGATGGTTAGGGAAACGAAGAATCTGAATTTTAATAAAAATACCATAAACCCTACGCATAATTGATTTATAGTTGAATGTTATAGTTAAACCGCCGTAAGCTTGGCCCTCCTGATGGTTTGGGGGACGCGGGGCGGGGGTGCATTCAACCAATTAGCTAGTGCGTCGCTGTCCGCCGGCAGTGACTGACGTGAAAGCATGGCTGTACGTGTTATTTTTCTTAAGACTGCTACACACGTATTATTTTACAACACGGATAATCTGCCGACTCTGCGTCACAAAAAGATTTAAAAACCTGAAGTTCGGCTTACAGAGGTTCTACTGTTAAAGTTCTAATAAAGAATATTTATTATTTTACTTAATTTTTAAATTGTATCTGAATATAATTTACATGATGAAGATAAGGTGATTTTATTAAAATTATTTTACAGTATTAAATTTTACAATTAATCATAAAAACTTACAATACACTGATATTATAATACATGGAAATAAATTCGATTTTTATTACATCGTGTGTAGATTAAATCTCTAACAAATAAATCTGAAGATATCGAGTTAGTACATCGTGTCACGTATAGCCGAGCGCATCACCCGCCCCGCGTCCCGCAAACCATCAGGAGGGCCAAGCTTACGACGGTTTAACTATAGTACAGGTCTATTATGTAAATTGTGATGCTTTTCAATAATTTAATGCATTAGCAAAAAAAATTAATGTTTTTAGTTTATTTTAATTTAGTTTAGATTGAGTTTTTTAGTTTATGTTTAATTATTTATAGTTAGAATCGAAAAATTGTCGTACGAATATGGAGTGTGCAACTTACTGGGTATAAAATAAAAGTTATTGGTGTACGAATACGAACTGCTGAGCTGCACAGTAAAATCGGAATAATGGACGTAGGGAAGAAGGCTGCCAAGTTCAACTTGGATGAAGTGGGTAACGATAGATGCGTAACCACTGTTATCCAAAAGGCACCATCGAGGCCGGTTAAGGACTGAGACATGATGACCTCCAAACAATCGCGTTTGTGGTGGGTCAGGCAAAAGATATACTTTTACCCACCATAGGCTAGAACAAAGTTTTACATTTCTCTTCGTTGAAATCAAATAGTTTCTTCAATTTCTTTAAGGATAAGATGCTAGACGGGCTAGACTACCGCCGCTGGCGGTTTGCCGCTCTGTTCAATTCAATATCGGTGATCATAATTATCAAATATTCTTGGTGTAGTAGTTAAGTACGATATTCGATATCGTATATTGGATTTACCACTTTACTAATAACATAAGAGCTATGAGGTGTCGCGTTGCAGATCTTGGAATGAGATTGGCACTGAGGGTATACATAGAAAAACAGTCTGTTAAAAAGTATTTTATTTACGTAATAACTAGTTATTATTCATACTATATATCTAGCAAAGAATTCTTGTAATGTACGTAATGTAACGTATTGATTGACTAGATTGCATTGTTTTAACATTTCCTTTGTTAATAAGACGGAGAAAATAAATCTCATTTCAACATCTTGTTAATGAACCTTAAGAAACACATATTGGTGGTAACCGCAGTTTGCGTTCACGTAAAAATTAATTTCTGTTCCAACCTGCAAACTCTTAATAAGTATCTCAGGTTCAAGAATGTCTGCCAGCTGGGGGTGCCTAGTGTGGACCTGTAAATAAAGAGACGGAAAGTTATCTACTGAAAATTCTATCAACAATCTATTTTTATTTTCATAAATTAACAATTTAATATAAAAAACCATATTCTGCTTTTAAATTTGCTCTCTTATTTTTTTGCAATCATGGGGGTCGTAATTAATTTCACAGACTAAGGCTTGCAGTAATACTTTACTTTTAACTTATGTACCTTAGCATGTTTTCTATTTCATTATGTGGTATTCCACATTCTTCTTACACTATAATCACCAAAACTAATAAACGGCCCCTTCATAATCTGCTCAGTGGAGTTCAAAGTTACCTATCCCAAATTTGTGACGCCCGAAGGATTCCATTAAAGTTTCACATTTGGATGTTTGCGTATTACATATCTCTATATAAGATAGATATGTATAGAGCGGTTAGGAGTATTTAATAATGAATTAATCATTAGCTTCTTTATACTTTACTTTCAAATCTAATCTACCTAAAGACTTTCTTTTACATGTGGGAGCCCCCTCGGGCCGTCACCCCACCGGGATTTACGGCCTGGTGGTGAGTCGGAATCGGACCGATTAAAACCATACGGTGTGCCCCCCTGCGCCTGAACTAGGAGGGTTCCGGCAACTGCTGTTATTAATTTTAATAATTTTAAACATTTTTTTTTTTGGTACTTCCCGAGTGTCATAACTAGGTATGTTCGTGGGCACTGCTGTTGACCTAGGTGTACAGGGGTTACAGTGGTGGGCGTGTGAGAGGGATACCAACCTACCCAAAGCCTAATGAAGGCTTAAGTAACGGACGCCTAAGGACTCTCGAATTAAAAGGTAGCCAGTGTCTAACATACAAAGGGCTTAAATCGTAACAGTATTTGGAGACACCAGCCTTAAGATTTTCTCAGTTCTTTAGTCGTCACTAAGTTTGTGAGTTCTATAATTAACGCTCATTCGTAAAAGAAATAGTTTTCTTTCTTGTTCTATAAAACAAAGTGTGCTTTGTGTAGTTAAGAAATTTTACTTACTCAATAGTGTTATTCCAAACATAAAGAAGAATCCGACAATAGACCCGATGAATTGCAAGAAGCTTGTTTTATCGCCTTTCCATATTTCAAAGAAAACTACATAGAGCAATGTCCCACAGGCCAGACCTTGCAGCACTACAGATGGGAGTCCGGCAGCTGCAGCGCCAGCACCTCCTACCAAGATCATACCTATACCGATTCCTATAGGTGATATAATAGCGTAGACAACGATGTATACCATAGTTAACCAAAATACGGTTCTACTGGCGATTAGTTCCACACTAATACAGAAGGAGATTACAAGTTTATGTCCTGCTACAGCGCCCAGCATGTACCTGAAACATTTTTTTTTCATGAGTCCGAAATAAAGTCAATGTTATATAATGTATTAACAGAAACCTACCATACTTTAGAAGTACTAGACTCTAAGCCGACAGCTAAACCTTCGAAGAGCTCGTGTATAGACAGAGCAAGCACAATAAGCAATCCTCTGAGTGCAGCTGAAACGGTATCTTCTACCTCTAATAAATCATTGTTTTGAAGGTTTTCAGCATCCTAAAAAAATATGAAAAATTTCCTTTGAAAAAAAGTATGGAAAGAGTGTGTTCAAATAAAAATAGTTTAAATTCCGGTGACGTCGAAACAGTTTGAAATTTGAAACATTCTGAGTTTTTTTTTAGGCGTTGTCCACTAAACCATAAGAATGTAGGCAAATCTATCTTCAGTAGGTAGTGGTTACCCTTTTTTAGTTATTTTGAAAATCAAAAACGATAGGTACGTCACGACCTTACAAACTTAAAGCTTCCGTGATCAATGAGATGACCTCGTAATGTTCTAACTTAGTATTAATTTACAGGTATGTAATAACAGTTAGGTGGTCCCATTAATTCCCGTGTGTGAACATAACACATGACCTTGAACAAAATATCAAAGAAACATCTCTAATTATTTTCTTAAAAATACAAAAAAATACCTTACGAAGTGTGCAAGAGATGACTTTACAAAGTTTGGCAATGGCATTATTAAATCTTTATTCTAAGACATGTACATATTTGTTGGACTAGAATTCTGTGTGTTCCCACATAGAATTCTAGTCCAACAAATATGTATACAGTAGCTACGTAGTAGTATGCTACACATGCTTCCACAGTAATAACAATTAGCCTGCAGTTAGCACTTATCGATTATTTTCGGTCTAGTTACTGTGCACCTCTAGCGTTTTTTTTTTAGATATACTAATCTGATGAAGGTCAATAAAAACTGTGTATAACAAACTTCCATCCTATAAAATTGCCCAACTGTTTTATACATTTACCGACCGGAGTACCTGCCTTATACGAGCACCTTGGGAAGTATAGAGGGTTTCTAACTCTGGTATGGGAACAAAAATTTAATAACCGTTTTTGACGTAAAGTGATCAGCAGACAAGTTGGCATCGTTCGCCTTTCCGATGGTTTTAATACCATTTTGATTATCCATTGGCGACGTTTCAGTTTTCTTGGCGTCCCTTTTTCGCATATACATGTGTATTAGTTCTTCTACCAAGTACATCATGAAGAAGCCGGAGCACGTAAGCAAATGGGTCAAGGCGAAGTTGTATGTGCCCAAACTACCTTCCTCTGCAAAAGAGAAATATTTGAATTAGTCATTGAACAAAACATTTTAGTATTTACACAAACATTTTAACATTGCACTTTCTCTTAGAGTTATGGTCTCCCAAGAGAGGCTTCGCGCACCAACAGCTGTACTGTGGTCAAAATACTGTTCCTACACTGAGCAATGTATCCATCTGCAGTAGTTTTAGCCAGACCACAAATATTCAATGAATATTTGTAGTAGCCAAGATATCATTTCACCTCAAAATCCATGACTCGATCTGGTCACGGCTCGGTCTCCAAAAGCTTTCTTTTCAATTTTAGTCCATTGAGATAGATAACAAACCCAAGTAGTCAGGATTTGTTTTAAGGTGGGCAAAAATTTTCACCCTTCCGTTGGAACTATGTTTGTTACTATAATTAACTTATTTAATATGGATCTTTTTTAGTTAAGATACTCTAAAACAACCATAAAATATGTAAATTGTGTACATCCTTCAAAACGGTCAGAAAATACTATTTAAGTTAAGATAAAAGAGAAGATTTACCTTACAATTAAACCCGAGCACCAGCAGTTTTGTGTAATTTATTATTTAGCTTTGAATATAAATGTTCATTATATAATTTTACATACCGTTTCAATTAAAAAATCTTTGAAGCTAGAGCCTGTTAGAACGATCTTATCAGATAATTTAATACTCACTAATGTGCTATAGATTGATATGAAACTATCTACTTACTATTTAACTGAGAAAAATAAAATAAACATCAAAATGTCGTTGTCAAATATACATAAATCTAAGTAACTAAAAGTCATCAATTCTGGTTATTAAATTTTGTGACTGTACATTTCAGACTTTTCAATCATCTTTGGAGGACATCTTCATTTTGCTACGAAAGCAAATCTATCACTTATTTGCAATCCAAAAAATAATGATAACGTTTGTAAAAAAATACCTGTATTGTTCCTGTTTTTACCACAAAGATATCTTGCACACAACCAACCAACCCAACTGAATTGGGTACCCACAGGACAGGCTTGCCTAGTGTGGGGCCACAGGACACTGTTGTCACGTTGTATTTCTTATATGGTAATAAACATTTTTTGTTTATTTTATTTATTTACAACCAGAGCTGCTACTACGATAACCAGATGGATTTTTAAAAGACTTACATATAACTAAGTACATTAATAAATTATACATGGAGCGCAGAAAAAATGATCGAATTCATCACATAATTATTGGTACTGGGTTGTAATCGAACCCGCAACGTCCCAGCTCAGCAGTAACAATCGCTAGAAGAAACAGTTGAATTTGTTTGTTATTTGAAAAAATGACATAAAAATTACTCACCTTGCAACTGAATTATATTTTCCTCAATTTCAGGCATTAAATGTAAAAAGGTGGTGGCCAACAAGACGCCGCCACCAAAAGCCAGTAGTGTCATTACTATCTTGTTACTTGATCTGATATTCTTCGCGTCGCCGGCGAACAACCACTTGAACCTCTTAGCCACCAACAGTGGTATAATACCACAAATCATACAAGCAACAAAGAGAACTAACATGCTAACTCCTTTAGCAACGAGAACACCCTCGGTATCATCCGGCTCCGGTATTAAGGTCACGTTCAGTTCGTCAGCCATCTTAATGAACCACAAAATTGAGTACTACCGTGAAGGAAGAAAAGTGAGCTTGTAAATGAGATGATATATTGGATGCGTACCTATTTATACCAGGTGAGATATCAGTAAATGCTTTAGTATCATCTAGTAGATATACAACATGTAGGTCTATATATATTACAATAAAAACTTTAATTTACTTTCCTTTATTTATATAAGTCTACGAGAGTCCAAAATAAATCGTTGTCAGGCGTCACAACAACACATATGTCATGTCTAACATGGGATTGAACCTGGAACAGTTCAACTATTTTTAAAAAGCAGCTCGACGCTTTTGATTCCTTAAATCGTTTCTTATGGGTCTTAAAATTAGTCCTGATTTAGAAAATTTCAGTTTGCACTAATCAAAGTACCCACACAGTGGAACACAGCTCCAGTACCTTTTAATCCTGCTCCGGCCGCTTCTTTAATCCTTGTGATCGTTTCATGGCCCGGACTTTTTTCGGAAATATTAGATTGGGCAAGTTCTAAAGAACTAACATAGTCCCGGCAGTAGACATATTCGGCACTGGAAACATGTCCATGAAACATGTTTACGAGTAGTCCCTACGCCAAATACGGTGCTTAACATTAACATGGTATTTATTTATCTTAGAAATATATTTATCTTAGAAAATTAATACGGTGTGTAACACATTATTCGTTGCTTGTGGTTGTCTGCATGTGTTTGGAGACAGATGGTGCAGAAAGTTGATTGCACATTGCTGTAAAAATGAAAATAATGAACTAAATTTTCACCTACGTCACATGTAACATTTATCGGACTTTTGTGACGAGGGCGTTAAAACTGCGTTGAACGCACGTTGATTTTTTTTAAAGCTACGCCTGAACATAGTTCAATAGCACCAATCGTAGTAATATAATCTAACCACAAGACAAAAAGAAAACTGAGACAGCCTTTTTTAGGCCTTTTTTTCTTGATATGGAAAGTTTTACAGAAACATCATCAGCATAGGAGTTGTCGGTAAGAAACCAATAGTTGTGATAGAACTGTTAATTCATAATGGGAGCATCTACAAAATCCAAACTAGCTCACTCATTTCGTACATTTTGTTACCTAATTTTGGACTATATGAAAACAAAATTACTAATGAAAATACATACATTAAGTGAGACAGATCCACCAACTTACGCGCGGTAACTTGGTGGATCTGTCTCACTTAATGTATGTATTTTAAAAAGTGCAGCGTCATGTTCGTCATTAGGTGGCTACCTGCCACCTAATGACGAACATGACGCTGCACTTTTTCTCTTTTTGCGATTTGCAATATTGGTAATCAGACGTGGTTTCAGTAGGTTATTATATAAATTTTAAAGTATGGCTTCATTCCGCCGACATCAACACAAAATTAAGTTACGCATAACATGAATAACGCTGCGCTGGGCTCGAAACGCACTTGGCGAGTTCTTTTTGTACAAATTCGGTCATTTAGATAAAAGTTAATAAATAGTATTAATAATAGTTTTTCACATGTAGGATCGTTCAACAACACTTAATTTCATGCATTTCACGTTGTTTAGTTATGTATAAAATGTGTTTTATTTTCTTAAGGTTTGAACTCGAATTGATACTGGAATAAAAATTGTTTTAAACTGATTTTTACGCTTATTTTCAACGAATCACATCATCACATCAACAGCCTTTAATAGTCTAATGCTGGACATAGGCCTCTCCTTAGAAAGAAGGTTTTGGCCTACTATACCACGCTGAACGAATAGATAACTGGATTTGTACTGCGTCAACACTTTGTTTTCTTTTGTATATTACTCAGAGATCCGATTGTTCTCTGGGCAATATACAAAAAAATCCGTGCGTGTTCTACGCGCGGCCTAACGCCCATTGTATGAACGGAGTTTAAAACTAAGCATGAGCAAAACGCGCGGTCATCGTCCGTCATCTGAACATGGCTTTATGATATGTTTTATCTCACTCAGTGTAACTAATTTAATTTGTAGTGGGAGTTGGATCATTGTAGATAATATGTTGCGGAAAAAATTAAAAATATTTATCATATCTTTCTATATTAAGTATTCATAAGTGTATTGCAGCTACGTGTGATAAGGTACATCTTCAGGTACCTTATCATACTGTCTGACATAACGACGAATTAGATTATCTCCTGAAGTATGAAACAGCAATTTGGGCAGAATGATATTGAAAAAAATTAACAAACTGCCCTTGTATGCTTGAGCACTGTAGGTGTCAGTAACAAAAGTTGCCTTTAGGAGTGCTAAGGATATAAAAGTATTTTTGTAATATTTTATTTTGTTGATGTATCTACTGTGGCGACTCCCACATACAAAGAAACAGAAACATACTACAGCGGCGATATGAAGAATTCTCTCGCCGATTAGCATATATATAAAATAGCCTTATCATAGATCTGTACCTACTGCTGCATGTACGAGTATAATACTGTTAACTTATGTGTATGAAATGTAAGAACTGACCATGTCGTTTAAATGTTAGCATTCCCTGAAACCTTAATAAACGTTTGACCATAGTGTTAATTTGGGGCCTCTAAGATATGGAAGATTTAATGAAATTCCTTATAAACAAGGAGTTAATGTATTATTACTGGTAGTAAATACACATCTCACTGCACTTTTTTTCTTCTTTAAAATTGGATATTTTTGAAGAGATACAAGATACTAGATATTGAAGTAATACATATGACACAGTTTCAAGAGCCGATAAGATTTCCGGTGTTTTCCATTCATTCAAACTGTTACAGAGTATTCGCCATGGTTTGCATTGCGTTGCTTTGGTTGTTCCAACTTGTAGTTGTTCTAACACCAATAAGTTGGAACAACCAAATGTTCTAACAACAAGGATTTCATCATCTAATATAAGTCACGTAGCATTTTCTTGTAGATTTTTATCTATTAGATAATTGTGATATTTTTTCTTTAAATACGTGGGCTATATTTTAGATAAGTATGATTGACAATGTAAGGCTAAGTGTCTGTAACGGGTAAATTTGCATCGTTCGGCAACGTAACGGATAAAAGTTGCGGTATCTTTTATAAGGTAGTACTATTATTGGCACCTATAACCCAATATTTTCAAAAAATAAGGAAGGTCCTAGGTCATACAACAAAAGGCATGAAATATCCACTGCTGGAAAAAAGCCTCTCCCAAGGTTCGCCACAGCCCTTGGTCCAGTGCTGCCCTTGCCATACCATATCTAATTCAGTCATATCTCAAGCAGTTTTTATTTTGCGTTTAGTTCACCGGCTGTTCTAACTTTAACCGTCATTGAATAGATTATATCACAGCAGATTTTTAGAAGATATTTAGAATACATTTATTTACTATCTTTAAATAGTAAAAAATGAAGTCGCTTCCCGTTCTTATACGCTTAGATCTTTCAAACTACGCAATGGATTTTAATGCAGTATTCATTAATGGAGAGAGTGATACAAGAGGAAGGTTTATATGTATAAATATATGCATATTACCCCCACAACACATAAGTATCTACATTGCACCTGATTTACTTATAATTCTTTTTTTTATCGGATTATTTCGATTAAAAATAGAAAAAAAATATGTAAAGTATAAGTGAATATATCGCTTTATACTAGGCATGCCTTTTAAGTTCTGTCGTTTTCATATTTCCCGGCAATTTTGAATTTAGAACTGTTTTATATTCTTATGTGTTTAAATTTTGAATCTCAAAACAGTTCAAAGTATTAGGATTAATGCTATTGTTTACGTACGAAAATGAATCTTTCTAAGGAAAATGTTCGTGCAATAATTTTCTACAACTTAAGAAGAGGCCTGACACGGCGATGAAGCCCCATGTCTGCGGACTGTCGAACGCTGGTATTTAGAATTCCAGCGTGGACATACTAGTGTTAGTCACAAATCTCGCGAAGGACGCCCAAAATCCGCCTTCACTTAAGATAACATCATTGCTGTGAAACAACTAATTCTCGAAGATCGTCATGTGACGTATCGAGAGATAGAGGCTCTATTAGGCATCTCAGGGACAACCATTCAGAAGATCTTGCATGAAGCGCTTGGTGTGAGAAAGCTAGTTTGCCGTTGGATACCGCATCTGCTTTCCGACGATCACAAGGCAGCCCGCGTTAGATGTTGTAAGAAAATTCTGCAAAGGTTCTCTCAGTTGAGGAGAGTAAAATCACGTCTACACCTACAATCCTGATTCCAAACAACAACCTACAATCTGGGTCTTTCAAGACGAGCCAAAGCCGACTAAAGTTGTTCGTTCTCGAAGATGGTGGTCACGTTCGTCGGAAAAAATGCCATCGGCCATGTTGTGACTATTGCACTTGAAGATCGTAGAACGGTTAACGCAGACAGGTATACCACAGTTTGTTTACCACAAGTCATCGCCGAACTTCGAAAATCTAACTCAAAGCGACGCATCATCCTGCACCACGACAATGCAAGCTCACACAGCGCTCGTCAAACGATTGAGCATTTGAAGCAGAAAAAGTAGAAATTCTTGACCATCCTCCATACAGTCCTGATCTAAGCCCTAACGATTTCTTTACATTTCCTAAAATTAAGAAGTCTTCGTGGTCAAAGGTGAAGAAGCAGCCGACGCTTTCAAGTTTTCAAAAGTGTATTAAGCTACGTGGTGAATACTTTGAAAAACAATAAAAAGTACTGTAAGCTCCTTTTTTTTTTTTTTTTTTTTACCCGTGCGGAAATCCCTCGGATACCACCTATCGGACTCGAACCGACTAAAACCGCACGCCGTCTCGGGTACTAATAGCCGGAGAACCAGGTATACCCTAGAAAGGAAGTCCCTGGTACCCCGACATACCTCGGGTCATCTACAGACGAGTAGACGACCCCCCCGTGTGGGAACCCCATGTTCCCGGTGCTCCCTGGAAGCGAGCGCGCTTCGCAACGCGCTTGCCGCCACCCCGGCCTGCTTCTGCTAGGGTGACAGATGGCCTCACTTGTCACCCCCAGGCCTGCGCTT